ATGTTCATATTCTGGTTATACTTAGCAACAAAATATTAACAAAAGCAAATAAATAATAACAGAAGAAACAAAGATTTATATTAGTGTCACACCCTCATTTTCACCTTTAGCCTTTCATATCCTACGTCCTTCATATCATACATCGTTCTATTGCATATCGAGCATGTGGATTCACAAGATAAGGATTGGGCCGGTTCGTTGTTTTCCATTCCAAATAAGATAAATTTCCTATCATGGGCTACATGGAAGAAAAGGTTCATCATCTAAGGTTTGGTTCAAGTTGAAAAGTCTACTCATGTAGATTCCTTCAAGGAGAAGTTACTTGAAAATTATTAGGATATTCAAGATCAATATTCCTAATAAACATGAAGTGAAAGGCCTAATTCAAGATTTCTTCATCCAACTTTGTTTCAAGTTCTATGTTCAAGTGGAATTCGAAAGATCACAAGTTCATAATTCAAGACTTCATCCCTTTCAAATGCAATGGCATAAGGGAGATACATCATTCCAAATTCAAGGTTCATGAATTCAAGACTAGATTCAAGAATATTACAAAGGGAAATTTCATGATATTGCAAGAATGTCACATTTGTTACAAAGTTTCTAACTCTAAGTAATGCTTAGAAAATTAAGCTATTTCTAATCTTAATTCAAGTTATAATCAACTTCATGCTATGGTACCCTTCATGCCCCATCAAGTCCACATGTTCCTCATTATGCCTACAAACATCCAAGGAAAATAATTAAGATTCAACTTAACATTGGAACATTTCAAGATCAAGACTACGTATGCTTAGTCATGGGCAATTTTAATGTGATCTAAAACAGTCCCATGCAAGAAGTGACAAATTGCCTCATAACCAAACAAATTCATGCCACAAAACCAAAGGAATGAAACCATAATGATGCATCTAAATATCAGAATTTTGAAATGTTGTCAAAGGTAGAAACTTGGACCACAAGGGTAGTCCAAGCACAAGTAAACAAATGGGTTCAGATTTGGGAACAAGACAAAATACAGCAGCAAAAATACAGCAAAGCAGAATTCATGGAAATGGAAAGAATTGGGCTTGACATCAAGAAAGTGATGAGAAACATATCCCAATGAAAGGATTCTACAACAAACAAGTGAAAAAACCCTATTGTTTGACTATAAGGAAGGGAGCAGCAGTAGGTAGAGGAGGAGATTGAGAGAGATTGATAGCAAGAGAAGAAGAAAAAAACAGAAAAAAAGAGATTGAGAAAGAAGAAAGAAAAACCATTGAGAGAACAAGAGAGTGATAGAAAACCAGAAGAAGGAAGTGAATCATAGAGGACATCCAACAAAGGCCATTGGTGATTATAAGGAGAATAGTAGCTCTTGGGTATCTTTTCTTTCAAACTCTTATCTCTTTACATATTTGCATGTTTTTATTTTCTCAGTAATATTTGTGTTGTACATATTATAGTAAGGTCTCAAGAATGACTAAGAACTATTGTAAAAAGTAAGAAAAAAAGAAAGAACATAGTTTAGTGTTTGTAGTGAAATGAGTTGAAAAATACTCATGTGTGTTGTCATGTTCTCACTGCGAACATCCCCTTCGCCTAGCAAACATCACTTTGTGGAACTCAGAGTGCCACTGAACAACCAATTTTCCCTTATTTTTAGCTAGCGAGTTGTTCGCTGGCACCTTCGCACAACGAACTTTGCCCCCTTTTTCCTCTGTTTGTGAATAGTACGTGTTCGCTAGGAAGTTCGCACAGTGAACTTCTTGTTGTTTTTTATGGGTAGGTTCACTACAAGGTTCGCACAACGAACTTCAGTGCCTTTTGCCTCTGTTTGTGATTAGTATACTGATCTGAAAAACCCTAAGAAGTTCGCACAACGAACTTTCCATAGTTTTCAAAAAAAATTTCATGCTGTTTTTTTTCATTTCTTGTTTTTATTTGTATCTTCAAGACGATTATTCCAATGTGGTTGTACGACCATTGTATATGGTTATTATTACGATCATTTTTAACTTTTGGTTCCAAAAACTATTTTAAAAAATAAACTCTCGATTTTATCGAGCCATTTTCAACCTTGTAAGTCGATTGCCTTGTGCGTCGCCATCGACCTTGTTCGCATCATTTCAAATATTTTTACAAGTAATAAAAACCTTGATCCAACATCAAGTGATATTTTTCTCATAAAAAAAAACCAAAAAAACAATAAAGATACGATTGGGGTTATACGCCATAAGCTTTAAAGTGGTGGAGAAGGAATGAGGATGGAACCCTCCTACACTCGTTCCGAATACAAGACACTCAACTTGGTTATTCGAAACATTCATCTCTATCCAAAGTCTTTAGTGTGATCCTAATCAAGAACAACTTTTTTCTCAAAAACCTAAAAATAACATCAACTCATCAAACTTCTTTTCGCTTTAGGGCATCAATCCGAAAACCCTTTTTCATGGTATAAAATCAACCAACATACAATCATTTCACAAGCCTCTGAACTACGGAGCTCTGATTCTTCACTTCTTTTAAGTGAGGATACGTAGGCACAAGGGTCACAATCCTTGGCGAACACTCTAATAAAAAACACAACCCCTCTCTTCCCTTAAGCAAGCAAAATTTTAGATTAAAACACCCATTTTAGCTAAACAACCTAGAAGGTTCTCATCGAGTACGATTGATATGAGGGGGTGCTAATACCTTCCCCTCGCATAACCGACTTTCGAATCCGAAAATTGGTTGCGATGGCCATGATCTTTCCCTAAAGGTTTTATCGTTATTTCCCTTTCCCTCCTTAGGATAAATAAAATCCGGTGGCGACTCTGTGTCATTTTTCGCATAGCGGCAATTAGTTCCTCCCAAACGAGAGTAGTCAAGTCCCCTACCTTTACAAGAGATTTTCACTATAATCAAAATATGATTACAATCGCTTATGCATTTTAATTAAGACTTTTACAATGCTCAGACCCTAAGTCTGATACTTTTTGCTTAAACCCCTACGGCTCAAGACTTCCTTGCTCAAGTCCTACAGACTCAAGACTTCCTTGCTTAAACTCTCAGCCTAAGAATTTTTTGCTCAAGTTCTTCAGACCCGAGACTTCCTGCTCAAGCCCCTCAGGCCCACGACTTCTTGCTTAAACCCCTTAAGTTCAAGACTTTCTGCTCATACCGTAGCCTAAGTATTTCCTGCTCAAACCCCTCAGGTCCAAGACATCTTACTTAAACCCCTCAAGTTCAAGACTTCTTCTCAGACCCTCGATCCAAGACTTTCTTGTTCAGGTTCCACGAACCCAAGACTTCCTGCTCAATTAATCTATCTGATTAAGTATTTCATTTGTCTAGCACATATCAAGAGACTTACATGGCTTAAGCATATTGGCGAGAGACTTGGTTATTCAATCAATCCACTTGATTAAGACTTTTAATACTCTAACACATAGCAGGAGACTTACATGGCTCAAGCATCTTGGCGAGAGACTTGGTTGCTCAATCAATCCACTTGATTAATACTTTAAGTGCTCTAGAACATAGCAAGAGACTTTCATGGTTCAAGCATCTTGGCGAGAGACTTAATCTAAATTGCTAAACAACGTGTTCAACAGAATAAAGAACAAGGTGTACTTGATACAAATATCATAGGTACATGGAAATCACCATAACAAAGACCTAAAGCTTTTAAGATTTCTAAGATATTCAACTTTTAAGAAATCTTAAGGCTTTTACAATTACAACCTACAACATAAATTCGACATAACCAATTGTTCAGTATTAAAAATTTAATCTTCTAAACCAGAAGTAAGTATTAAAAAGCATTCTTGTATTGACTTTATGATAATTCCATCAACTGTTCATGAGGCATTGGAAAATAAAATTGGCGTTAAGTTATAAATGAGAAAATGAAAGCATATGAGAATAATGAAACATAGGAGATTGTTGAGAGGAAAATAGTTAGGCAACTAGTTTGATGCTCCCATTGAGTAAAATCATAGGATAAACCTTGGGGAGAAAATTGTAAAGAAGACAAGGGTTAATATCAAAGATTAGTAGAAAAATTGATATACTTGGCACATACTAGGCCAAATTTGGCATAGGCAGTTAGTGTGGTGACCAATTTATGCATGATCTAAAGGAGAGAAACTTGCAAACTGTAAAATGTGATTTAAAATTTCTCAAAGTCACTAAGAGGAAGAATTTTATTTAAAAGAGATGGAAGTGTAACTATAAAAGCTTACATTGATACTAATTATGCATGTTCGATGAGTGATAAAAGATCCATTTGAGGTTATTGTGTATTCTTGTGTAGGAACCTAGTTGCTTGGATAATTAAAAAAATAAAGTGTAGTTGGTCGATCAAGGAGTGAAACGGAATTTAGAAATATGATACAAGAAATTTGTAAATTATTATAAATGAAAAAAAGTTTTAGAAGATTTGAAGGTAATAAGTCATGTCCAGTATGATATCAAAGAGAAACTGAATTGCGGATTGATAACTAAAGCTTACACTCCTTTTAGACAGTAAGTAGCTAGTAGATGTGCTAACTAAAGGTTTACCAATAGAAAGATTCACCTAACTTACTTGCAAATTTAAAATGATTGATATTTATTCACTGCTTTAATAGGATGTTTTAAATATTAAATGTAAAAAGTAAAAAGTTTCATTAGTCTGAGGCCCACAAAGCAAGGCCTATTGTAACTAAAACTTTCAATATATGAAAACCTTATTTTACAACAGGAACAAAGAGCAGCAGTAGTGCGCAGATAAAAAGCTTATTAGGCTGAGAGAAGAAAAGCCAAAGAAAAAAACAAACACAACAAGAAAGAGAAACAAGCCAACCAACCTCCGGAGAGAAGAAAGCTGGAGAGAGGTAGACACGACTTCTTCCTATGCAATTTATTTCTGATATAAAACATTGTGGAACACTTCAATAGCCATACTTCAATAGCTTACCAGCTTTATTACCAACATATTCATTCATGAAAAACTAAATACTTTGAGAACTTGTTTGCTTAAGCAACACATATCAAGGACGACGAATAATAGGAATCAAGCATAGGCCATGTTTTCTTGTTACCGTAACCCCAGGTGACTCAGTCATATCTAATTCTTCATTTTTCATATCATTTGGAAGCTTCCAATTAAAGTGGTAAAGTAATTGAGCAAGAGATAGCTCAATAATCGCTATGACAAATCCAATTCCTGGACAAATCCTTCTTCCTGCACCAAATGGTATGAATTCAAAGTCTGTGCCTCTGAAATCAATTTTACTATCAAGAAACCTCTCCGGTTTAAAACTCTCAGCTTCAACCCAATACCTTGGATCTCTTCCAATAGCCCAAGCATTGATCAATACCATTGTCTTAGCTGGGATATCATACCCATTTATTTGGCATCTCTCCCTACTTTCTCTTGGAAGTAACATTGGTGCATGAGGATGTAGCCTTAGTGTTTCTTTGATGACACACTTTAAGTATATCAACTGGTGCAACTCTGATTCATCTACATACCCTTTTTTGTCAAACACTCTTCTTACTTCAGCTTGCACTTCTTCCATTACCTTTGGATTCTTTACTATCTCAGACATACACCATCCCATAAACCCTGATGATGTTTCACTACCAGCAGAAAACATGTCCTGCAAGTGCATTAATAATAATAACATAAGAAAATTTATAATTTAGGTTATAAATTGTGGTATTACTAGTAACGATTATTTGTAAACTAACCAGGATGATTGATTTTATATTTGTGTCAGTCAGAGGATGTTGTGATTGTTCATTTTCCTGTTGAATCTTGAGAAGAGCATCAACTATATCTTCATCCTTGCTTACATTCCTGTGATCATCTACGACATCTTGCATTATCACATCAATCTCTCTGTGAAGTTTTTCAAATTTTGTCTTTGCCATACTCATGCTTTGAAGCATTCTAATTGATGGATACAAATCAGCAAGACAAAATCCTCCGAGCAAACTTGATATTTCATCAATTGCTGATCTGAATGCTTGATGGTGTTTAATCTTTTTTCCAAAAGCTGCCCTCGCCACAAACGCATGCGTCATATCGGAAATCTTAAGAGAAAGATTAACAACAGATCCTTCGCTTGCAGCTATTGATTTAACAAGATCTGAGACCTCTTCTTCTCTTATGGACCTAAATGACTGGACACGCTTTGCACTCAATAGCTCAGTACCGCATATTTTACGCAGTTGCCTCCAGGGTTCTCCATATCTAGAGTATAAAATATCAGTGCCATTGTAACTAAATATTGTGGGCAACATAAGGCTTGGCCTATCACAAAAGCTGAGGTCATGTGTTTTCATAATCTCTTTGGCTACTTCTGGTGAACTAACTATTATGTATGGTACCTCACCAAGTTTTAGGTACATCAATGATCCATACTTTTGGGCCATAGTTTTGAGGGAACGATGAGGCAATGGGCTGCTAATTGTCTGATGTATGTTCCCTATGAAGGGCAATCTCCATGGTCCTGGTGGTAAATTAGGGTAAGATTTTTTAGAAGTATTCCATCTCTGAACTATTTTGAATAGTAGCAAGAGGAAGAGAAAGGATGCCATTAAAGTAAAGTTAGAAAAGTTGTTGTGAAGCTCCATGATTGTAGAGTAAGGGAAGAAGAATGCTTAGATGAAGTTATCTAAACAAAAGACTCACATTATATAGTCGTTACATTATTGCAAAATTAATAAAAAGATACCCATAGTAAATCAGAACACAATAAAAAGATACCCATTTGTCCTTGCTCAATTCAACATGTGCCTTTTCTTTTATATAAATATACAGATGATGCATATCCATCCTGAATTTTTTTTTTTTAAAATAACCATAATTTTTAAATAAAATATCAAAAAATCACAAAATTATAAAAAAATACGAATGTGATTATATTTGTACATTGAGTCGTCATATGAAATGACTAATCAAGGTCACCTTGACCTGAGTCGCAATTTCATATGACGTAAGGGTGTATTGCCTAGCCGTACCCTACAGAGGAGTCGCCATTTCATATGGCGCATCCCTTCTGTAGGGATTTTTTTTAGTTAAATTTTTGTTAGGTTTTAATTTTTGTTTTAAGTTTTAATATTTATTGAAAAAATATATAATTGATGATATTTGATATATTTGTTTAAATTTTAAAACATAATAAATATATAATTTTAAAACATAATAAATATATATATTTGCTTAAATTTTAAAACATAATAAATATATAATTGTAGGTCACCTTTGATTTTTGATATTTTTAAAATATAATAAATATAATTGATGATATTTTAAATTTTTGATTTTGTATATTTGTTTAAATCCTACGTTGTTAATTTTTGATATTTGTTAAAAAATATATATATATTTTAAAAGGGTACTATTTTATTTTTCTATAAATAAGACTGCATATTCATATAGTTTTTCACAATAATTTATAACAAAAGACTCAAGTCTTCAAAATTTTGAATGCAGTCTAGAATGTCTGCATTTCTAAATCAACGTTCATCGTCGTCATTATCATCATCGGAGGAACCGTTTCCACCATTTTCTCTAATGAAAAGAAATGTCGTAGTTTATTTTTCAGCAACAAAGCCTCCGATGAAGGTGCTACTGTGGAACACGCAGACGTTGGAGCATTTGCATAGGAAACTGAACCGTTGACTAGAAGGAGATATTCCTGCAGGTGAAAAGATTAGGAAAATTAAGAGGTTGGTTGAGGAGTCAAGGAGAAACGGAGTTACTCGTGAATGAAGAAAAGTGAAAAATGATGCTGGTGTCCTTGTGATGATGTTAACACCAAAGAAGATAACGTTGATGGTTGTGATATCGAAAACACTTTGATGCATTGTTCTGTGTTATGTCGATTTGTTGTTGTTATTTTCGGAATGTTGTTGTGATATTAAGTTATGTTTGTTTAATTTATGTTGCTTGCTAATTGTAATCGGTTAAGTATGCTTTAAATGGAATGAACTTTGCTGTTGATTGAAAGGGACATGGTTACATTAGACACTATGATCTTGTGCTTGATCCTACATTAGAATATTTTGTACGATTGTGTCCTGGTTGCCGACACGAACTACATAATCTTACCATCTTGTTTGTTGCATCCATCTCCGCTCGAATGCGCGTGCTATTAGGCCGATCCTTTTTCTTTCTTCGCATCAAATCATTATGCCAGACAATTTCGCCTTCGTATTGAGGCCAATAGTCCTCCTTTGCCACCACCTGAAAGCTACATGTGTATATATTGCATAGACTTATCACTTGGTGAACTGTAAAAAGATAGTTGGTTGGGTCCTAGCGCGCCTTCGAACATGTTGCTATAACATGAGAGCAAAGCATACGAAATGCCTGAAACTTTCCACAGTCACACCAGCTTCTATCCAGTTCAACCCGGTAACATCCCCTAGGCCTTCCTTCATTGTGATCAATTGACTCGGCCACACTGAACTAACGTTTGTTACGGTCAAAGATTGTAACCATATGTGTGTTGGATTTGACAACTTCGTCTTTCATGAATGTTGTTGAACTATTACTATACATCTTACCAGATTGTAATACTGAACCCTACTTCGTACGTATATTATCAAAGAGTGCGCCTAGCCTAAAATATGTTGCCTTTACCAAGTCAGTTATCGGTAGGTTTCAGATTCCCTTGAAAACAGAATTCATTGATTCAACGAGGTTAGTTGTCATGTGGCTCCATTGCACACCATTGTCGTATGCCCATGTCCATTTCTCTTTATCAATATTATCAATTCATCTTAATGCATCTGTGTTTGTCAGTCTGATCTCATCACGGTAGTGTTTGAATGCGGGCTATGTTAGTGCATATCCTGCGCTCACAACCTTCTTCCTTAGTGTTTTGTCTTTGATTTCCCGCATGAAATTTTGGGTGATATGTCTTATGCAATACACATGGGTCGAGGGAGGATCCCGCCAACCATTATCAAGGTTATTATACGCACTCTCGATTGATGGGTGTCTATCATAGATCAAACATAAGTTAGGTTGGAGAGAAACGTAAAAGCGGAGATTTTTTAAGAAAAAACTCCAACCCCCAACAGTCTCCCCTCCAACTATAGCGAAGGCTATTGAACAAATGTTGTTGTTCCCATCCTGTGCCACAGCCAGGAGTAGCGTGCCCTTATATTTCCCATACAATCATGTGCCATCAACTTGAATTATAGGTTTACAATAAGCAAAGGCTTTGATACATAGTTCAAACGCCCAGAAGAGTCTGTGAAAGATGCCATTTCCACTAACGCAAGTCCCGTCTGGTGTATACGTTGGCATTGCCTCCAATATGGCAACAGTCCCTGGAGAGTATTGTTTAAGAGCCACCAAGAATTTTGAAAGTTCTTTGTAAGACTCCTCCCAATTTCCAAACACCCTTTCAACCGCTTTAGTCCTAGCTATCCATGCTTTCTGGTATGAAGGAGTGTAATTGTACCTTTGAACCATATGTGAAATTATGGTACTCACCTTCAAAGACGGGTTGTCGCTAATGACCGATAGAATCTCATCGCAAATTAATTGAGAGCTGAGCTTGCGATGGTCCTGCATCGGATTCGTGATTATACAAGTGTGGGCTAGACCCATTGACCCTATCTTCCATGAATCACTTCTCTTCCGGAAAGACGCGGTTAATCAGAATGGACACACCTCATTACGACAATAGATCTTTTACAGAGTCAGATTTGTTCAATCGAATCGATAATCTGCTGATAAGTCCATGTGATATTGTTTAATTGCTCGGACACAATCTTCTTTTGTACGAAACTCGTCACCCTCTTTTAATAGTCCTTCTGTTGCGTAGTTAGAGTTGTAAAAAACATCTGTTGAGGGTTCATCGTCACTTAAGTCGAGAGTTGTCATGTGTTGAGGTGGGTAATAAACATGACTGGGTGGAACCCCCACTTCGTCGTTGTTTACCATGTCGTCAACAATGACTTCAGCTGCTTCTTCTTCTTCTTTATCAATGACATCGACTTCAGTGTGTCCCTCATCAGATTCGTAAAAAACATGAGAAGAATCAAGTTGTTGAGACAGTTGTTGTTGTTGTAACGTAACATATAGCACAATATCTGAGAAACCGGAATACTCATGACTGCGGAACATGCTACACACATCTTCGTCGTCTCGAATCTTTAATGGGAAAATTTTGCATTGATCGTGCCCGCCAAAGAACATCAGATTCTTGTAGATTATTTGGCCAACTGGACCACATTGTAGTTTCTTTTCTAATCCTGACTTCAAGTGTACAAAAATTGACCTTCTGTCAATCAAAAATCTCGTAACATCAGTATTTCTGAAATTGTAACCAGATAGGTTACATTCAAAAACCTCACCGTTTAAATGTGCACTAATCATGCAAAATTTATATATTTTTTCAAATATCAAAAATTAACAACGTAGGGTTTAAACAAATATACAAAATCAAAAATTTAAAATATCATCAATTTTTTTTATTATATTTTAAAAATATCAAAAATCAAAGGTGACTTACAATTATATATTTATTATGTTTTAAATTTTAAATAAATATATATTTATTATGTTTTAAAAAAATATATTAATTATATATTTATTATATTTTAAATTTTAAACAAATATATCAAATATCATCAATTATATATTTTTTCAATAAATATTAAAATTTAAAACAAAAATTAAAACCTAAAAAAAAATTAACTTAAAAAAAGCAAAAAAACAAAGAAAAAAAATCCCTACAGAAGGGATGCGCCATATGAAATGACGACTCTTCTGTAAGGTAGGGTTAGCCAATACACCCTTACGCCATATGAAATGGCGACTCAAGTCAAGGTGACATTGATCAGCCATTTTATATGGCGATTCAATGTATAAATATAATCACTTTCGTATTTTTTTTAAATTTTAAATTTTTTAATATTTTATTTAAAAATTATGATTACTTAAAAAAAAATTCTCATCCTATATTATAGTTAAAAAAGATACACTCAAGACTATAATTTCCGCCCGTTTATGTAAAATTCTCGTTTTAGTTAAAAAAAATACGCTAAGGACAAGACTACAATTTCCGTCTATAAGATTAATAAATTAGCATGAGATGACACTACGCCAGAAATCACTTTTAGCAGCGCATAGAAAGACAGCGCTTTATACAAAAGCGCTGCTAAAGGGCCAGTAAAAAAAAAAGAAAAAAAGCGCCTACCAAAGACAACGCTTTTAAAAAAGCGCTGCTAAATGGTGGGCCTAAGAAAGCGCTTTTAAAAAGCGCTGCTAAAGGGGGGGCCTACGAAAGCGCTTTTCAAAAGCGCTGCTAAAGGGGGACCCTTAGAAAGCGCTTTTTATATAAAGCGCTGCTATATGGAATTGATAAGCACCCTATGAAAGCGCTTTTAAAAGCGCTGCTAAAGGCCTTTAAAAGCGCTGCTATAGGCATTCATATTATAATTTTAAGGCACCCTATGAAAGCGCTTTTCAAAAGCGCTGCTAAAGGGGGACCCTTAAAAAGCGCTTTTTATATAAAGCGCTGCTATATGGAATTGATAAGGCACCCTATGAAAGCGCTTTTAAAAGCGCTGCTAAAGGCCTTTAAAAGCGCTGCTATAGGTATTCATATTAT